TTAAGCAGGCTTGACATGCATTGCATGGGAGTTTGATCCAAAACTGGGCCAGTTCAGAACTAGCTTGATTTGGGATTTGGGAGTACAGAGATATATACCTTTTCAACAGGGGCTGATATCAACCCATCATCATTCCAGACCACTCCCAGCCTTGGTCTATCCAGGCAGATGAATTTGTCTACACCCAAGCCTAAGTAGGATAAAATCAATTCAGGCTTGGGTCAGGTTTGACCAGGATAAGAAGATTCAATGCAATCTTATTATCAGTAATGTCCTTCTGAAGAACTTTTCAGAACGAGGCTGGCTGGGGTGGGGGGGAAGCTCTGAGGATCATTTTTCACCGTAGGCAGTTGCATAGACAAAATTCAGTTTACCTACAACTTTTCATTACCATACAAATTGTTTTAAATTAGATAATATGCAAAAACTTTTAACTTAAAAATTTTAGGTGACATATGGTCATGTGTTTATAAAATTAGATGCAAATATTCTCTGGGTGGAAGTTCACATACTGGTGGACAGGCAATAGAAGGCAGTTGCCTAGGTTGCTATATATTGGGGTGGGAAGAAAGCAATGAAAGGCCTTTCTTATATGTGACTTTTTATAAAATATACACATATTAATTCTAGAAAATTATGCTCTTGATGACATGTAAGGATTTATTTTGGTATGTCAATAAACATTTATTAAGTACCTTCTGTATTTTAGGCACTGTGCTAAGTTCTGTGTATGCAAAAAGAGGCAAAAGACATTCCCTCAATTTTCACATATTATGGTGAAGCTCAGTCAGGTAGTTGATAAATTAGCATTTAATAGGCATCTATTATATGCCAGGCACTGTGCTAAGTCTTGGAAACTTAGCTTCCAATGGACAGTAATCAAAGGAGGCACAATTTTCAAACCCTGCTAAACTCACAAAGTCTTGGATTCAGTTTTAATGGTTTGTGTCATGATTATGTGGGTGAGAATAGAGCTCCTTAATTGTTTATCCTTGCCTTGATTCATTACATTTTAGGGAGTCTTCATCAGTAACATTCCACAAGGCTTTAGGCTATCTTCTGGGATTACTTAATTTATAAAATTCTAACCAGATTTAAAATAATTTTAAGAATTTTATTGATTTTTTTATATGATTGTCCCTTCTTTATATTATCTCTTTTCCTTCTCTTCCTCATCAACCAATCAATCAATTAACAAGCATTTATTAAGCACTTATTATGTGCTAGGCATCATTCCAAATACTGGGGATACAAAGAAAAATACTGAAAAAACCCCGTTCTTACCTGCAAGGATCTTATATCATGATGGAAGAGATTTTATATATATATGTGTGTGTGTGTATATACGTATATATATATCTCAGAACATATAAAATAAATACAAAGAATATGGAAAGTAACTTTAGAGGAGATAGTACAAGTGTCTGGGAAGACCAGGAAAGTCCTTCTAGAATAGGTGGGCTTGAACTGTATCTTACAGGAAACCAGGGATTCTTAGGAGTTGGAGGATGAGAAGCATGGAGAATAACTAATATGAAGTTAAGGAGATAGGAAATGAAATGTCATGTAGGAAGAACAGCAAGTGGGCCAGGAGGACTGAATAGAATGCATGGAGGGGAGATTTGAGACTGGGATTCCAATTAGAAGGCTACTGAAATAGTTCAGACTAGAGGTGAATAGGGCCCAAATGAGGTGATGAATATGTGAGTGGAGAGGACACATATATAAGAGATATTGAAGGTAGAAATGACAAGATTGGGCAACCAACTGGATATGTGGGGTGAGTAAGTATGAGGAGTCAAGGATGACACTGAGGCTGAGAATCTTGGTGATCAGAAGGATGGTGGTACCTTCAATAGTAATAAAGAAGTTTGTAGGAGAGAAAGGTTTGAGGGAAAAGACAATATTTCTATATTGGACATGTTGAGTTTGAAATGCCTACAGGATACTTAACGCCATCTAGACTGAGATGTCCAAAAGGTAGTTAATGACGTGGGATCAGATCAGAGGAGAGAGATAAGAGTTGGACAAAACAATCTGGGAATTATCTACATAGAGATGATAACAATTCATAGGAACTGATGAAATCACCACATGAGATGTCATAGAGAAGTATAGAGAAGAGGGCTAAGGTCAGAGGCATGGGGAATACCCACAGTTAGTGGCCATGACCTGGGTGAAGTTCCAGCAAAAGAAACTGCGAAGGAACAGACAGGTAGGAGAAAAATTCTAAGAGAGCAGAGTCACAAAAGCCCAAAGAGGAGAAAGTATCCAGGAAGAGAAGGTGGTCAATAATTCCAAATGCTGCACATTTTTCAGATTTAAATGTTTCTCTTGGTCAAGAAGATGAGGACTGAGAAAAGGCCATTGGCTTTGATGGTTAAGAGATAATTGGTAACTGGAAAGAGCAGTTTCACTTGAATGATGAGGTCAGAAGCCAAATTGCATAGGTTTTTTAGAAGAGAATGAGAGAGAGGAAGTGGAGGCATGTAGTGTAGACAGCTTTTTCAAGGAATTTAGCTAAGATGGAGGAGAGACATAGGACAATAGCTGGTGGACATGATGGGATACAGCTAGAGTTTTTTTAAAGTTAGGGGAGAATTGGATGTATTTGTAGGTAGCTAGGAAGGAGGCAGTAGTTAGGGAGAAATTGAAGATTAGCAGAAGTGTAAACCTTCCCTTGTAACAAAGAACCCCAGTTAAGCAAAACAACCAAGACAGTAACAATGTCTGGCAGCAATTTTTGGCACTGGTAGTCTTGCAACTCTCTAAGGAAAGGAGGGAGGTACATTTCCTTGTTTTGTCTTAGGGGCAAGATTGGGCGTTGTAATTGCAGAGCACCCAACTTAATTTTAATGTTCTTTTTGTTTACGTTGTTGTAGTCATTATACATATTGTTTTTCTATTTCTTCTCACTTTGTATCGCTTTATATAAGTCTTTATATATTTCTTTGAATTATTCATTCATCATTCCTCTTGATGCAATAATATTCCTTATATTCATATACAATAATTTGTTCAGTCATGCTCCAATTGATGAGCATCTAGTTTATTTCTGGTTTTGCTAATACCATTTATTTGAACTTAGCCATTTTCACTATTTTTCCATATCTTTGAAACTCCTTCAGACTTTAGATTTTAAAGGAAAGGCTGATTCTATGATCTACTAGCTTTTTTCCCCTCAAAATTAGTAAATGCAATTAAAGAACAGAGCTTTAGTGTGTTTTTATGGCCTCTGGGTAGAAGGAAATCTCAGAAGGCTTTGCACCAAGTACATTAACTGCACAGCAGGGGTTGTGAATATTTTGAAGACCAAGAAGAATTGAAAATGACCTTGGAAAATTAGACATAGACTTTTTCTTAATTCGTTCACTGTTGGAACATTCTCTTGAAAAGTGGCAAATTTGGGGCAGCTCGGTGACACAGTAGATAGAGCTCCAGCCTTGGAGTCAAGAAGACCTGAGTTCAAATATGGCCTCAGACACTTGACACTTACTAGCTGTGTGACCCTGGGCAAGTCACCTGACCCCAACTGCCTAACCAAAAAGCCAGAAAAAAAAAGGCAAATTCAATTGGCTTTCTGGATGTTTCATCCATGTAATGCTAGATATCCAGATGTTTGAAAATTCCTAGAGAGTTGACTAGCTAAGTTCATAAGACAATTATATAATAGGGATAGCAAATTAGAGCAAAGGCTGAGTGTTACAGTGAAAATAGTTAATAGATCTGATTTCAGTCCTGAACCTGCTGCTTCCTTGCTGTGTGACCTTAGGCAAATCACTTTTTTCTGGTCTCCATTTCTTTCTTTGTAAAATGAGCAGGTTGGACCAGATGATCCTTAAGGCCCCTTGCGGCTCTCACAATCTATGATTATGAGTACTTAGTGGGGGAAAACCTTATGGTCAATGAAATCATTGATGGATGTAGTTTTACTACACTCAATAGTAGTTAGGATGATCAAATTTCTGAATAAAAACTTAAAAAAGTAAATATTCCATACCAGCATCTTAGAAAAGAAAAATGTATCCTAATTTAGAGAAACAGAGAAAAGCCAACTGCTTTAAGTATAACTTCCTTATATTGTAGCACTTTTCCAAACCATAATTGTTTTTACAAAAAAAAATTTGTAATATGCACTCTCTTTTCTCTGTATGAATGACTAATTGTTTTCCTTCTCCTGAAGAGACATTATCATCTCTTTATTACTTTATAGAGTGATTTTCAACTCCAGTGATCTGTATTCAAATGGGAAGTTTTAGTGTAATCTATTGTGGCAGCTAGGTGGCTCAGTGGATGAGAGCTCTGGGCCTGGAGTCAAGAAGACCTGAATTAAAATCTGGCCTCAGACATTCGCTAGCTGTGTGATCCTATACAAGTCACTTAACCTCTATTTGCCTTAGTCAGCTGCAGAATGAAATGGCAAACCATTCCAGTATCTTTGCCAAGAAAATCCCAAAAGGGGTAATGAAGAGTTGGACATAACTAAACTACCAACTGTAACATAATACCCTTTAAAAATATTTTCAGGGGCTGGGCAATATCCAGGACTGGCTGTTTAGACTTAAAAGTAACAGAAAAAATGAAAAGATGCAATAGCTAGTTTAAGCCTCCACTGTATAATATTTAGCTGGAAGAACAGTTCCATATTTTCTCTAGCAGCTCTTTAGATTTTCATGGAAACATTGGTTCTCCTTCTTGGAGAGAAGTAATCCTGTACAGTAGAAAGAGCATTACTTAGAGCAAGAAGTGTGCTCAGCTCCTTGCTCTGTCAGTCATTGCTCTTGGAAAGTCATTTCATTTCTCCTGGCCTCAGGTTCCTCATATGTAAAATGGAAATCATCCTTATTTCAAAAGGTTTTGGCAATATTTAAAATTGAGGAATGTATGGAAGGTATCAATGTAAGGAATTATTAGTTTTGCTGAAGCTATATGTTTTAGCAACAAGGAAGCTGCTATATACGAAGAGAAATGTTCACTTGGCCTTCTCTTTTTTGTTTCAGATGTGTATAGACCCCTCTCTGTCAGTGGCTTTAGGAGATAAACCACCACCATTATACCTTTGTGAAGAATGTAGCCAGCGGATTGCAGGGTAGGTAAAGTCATCAGTGTCACAAATAAAATGAAGAGTCACAGTGAGTTCAGAAACAAAGTCCTTCCAGTATTAGCATTATATACCATGAGCCAAATTTCTCTAAAACTTGTCTAATAATTAATTTTAAAGGTTTTGTTGTGTGCCATTGAACACGTTCCCAATCTTCCTTTAGAAACCCGCTACACCGAGCAATTGCAAAGGGACACTGGAAGCAGCAGGGGAAAACAATTATGTTTAATGAATTCAGCCTTGGATTTGAAGTAGTCCCTTGTCACCAACTCATGGGTTTAAGTAAATGGAATCAAAACCTGACTTCCAAATTTAACTTGTATTTCAGATAGGTGTTTCTGCTTATTAGTTTTGCAGCAGTCACAATTGGCTTGGCACAGACCATACTTTATTTTCTCTGGCTTAATTAGCATCTGGAAAGCATCATTTGAAAATAACTGGACATGATGAAATGGCTATAATTTTACATTTAACCTCAAAGAAACAGACATTTTAAAAGCTTATTATGATATTATGATAGGACTCTTAATTATGCTCCATTTCTATAAAAAGGATTTTAGCAACAGGGGGTATTCCAAAGCACTCATTTGGAGGGCAATGTTGCAATGTATTTAAAACATGAAATATGGTGTTTTTTCTCTATAGGGATCATAGCGAATGGCTGATTGATGTTCTCCTCCCACAAGGTAGGATTTACTCCATCTAGGATAGATAATGAGCAATTATGAATAATGCTATTTTTCTTTGTGTATATCTTCATTATTTATTTATTTCAATTATATAAATAAGATACCAATGGCCTCAAATTTTTGACATATGCCATGAAGATACTAGGGATGTGTAGTATGGAGGGATATGATAATTTTCTTCAAGTACTTAAAGGGCCACCTCTCATAAAAGGGATTAGAAATGTGATTGTTCTATTTGATTCCCAAAAGCAGAGTCAGGAACAATGGGTAGAAAATACAGAGAAAAATTTAGGTTTGAGGGAGGGACAAACATCCTAAGGATCAGTCTAATTAGTCCTCTAAGTGTAATGAGCTTCCTTGGGAGATCATGAGTCCTGTCTCCTGAAGGTCTTTAGGGAAAGGCTGGATGACAACTTGCCCTGAGTGTTTGTCACATAGAAGATTCTTATTCAGGCAAGTGTTGGACTAGGTGGCATCTGAGAGAGATCTGGTAATTCTGTAGAGCAGAGGTGTCAAACATGCGTTACAGGCCCATGTGGCTTATAGCACTCCCCAGTGTGCCAGAACCAGATTAAAATGTAATGGGGAAATGTTTAACAAAATAAATAAAAATACAATAAAACATAGTTAATATTATTTTGTGGTGCCCAAGTCAGTATGTGGCCCATAGGGATCTTTTTTTTTTTTGTAAATTGAGAAATCTTTTATTGGCACAAGGGTTCTGGGTTTCATTCAGTCACTAAAACCAACATTGAGGTTAAATTGCTTGACAGGGTAAAGAAAAGTAAGAGCTTGTTTCTCCTGTGGGCATCAGTATCTTGCTCATCCTCTACTCCCTCAAGGGCATTAGCAGAGGGAGTACTGCTTTTGGGGTAGTAACCACCCACCCAGCCTTCCCTTTAAAACCCCAGGGTCAAGCTTCTATTGAGTACAACTGATCCTGGCAACTCTTCTTTGTATGATTAGCCAAGGTACACTAACAAAAATAGAGATTGATTTATTTGAATCTTGCCACAAGACCTAAGGGTGTGTGCAATACTGCAAAGCTTGATAGCTTCAGGCGGACTGGCACTACGTGGCCAAAGAAAGCACAGTATGGGATTGTTAGCAGTGAGAATTGGGGCAGATTAGGATTCCAAAGTCTTGTGGCCCACCCCACAACACCGCCCCCTCCCCCAATAAAATCATTTGGGAGTCAGGTAGACTACTGAGAATCTCTTTACCTCCTTCCTACAAGACATTTAAAAAAAACAAAAACAAAAACACACACACACACACAAAACCTTGTTTCCCATTTCTGTGGGATAAAACCTTGAAAAAAAAAATCAGACTCTTCCCTTGAATTATTGTTGGTTCCTGGCTATTTCAGGCTCCTAAAAGATTTTGGGGCAGAGGGGAAGTTGCAGGAGACATGACAACACGGAAGGAATTAGGAAACACTCATGGAAAGAGACCTTTTTAATGAAAGCATCAGGGGTCTCAAGTGTAGTACACAGACTGTTGGCCAGCAGTGCTATGTGCTATTCACAGAATTACTTAAAACTGAAATGGCATGCATTAGGTGGAGTCAGACCAAGAAGAATGTACCTATGTTATTATTGATGGAGATGGCTGACTCCACAAGAATTCAGTTCAACCGAATTCTCAAAGCCCAGTGATTTGTCTAAAATCTCCCCTTAATCTTCCTGTTTAAACAAAATATGAATGATTAGAGAGCATCTCTCTCCAGCTCCAAAGTCTTTTAAAAATATTCATTTCTCCCATTCCCCAGTTTTTTTCTTTTTTTAAAAAAAAATTAAAGTTGGGCAAATGACAGCAGGTTAGTTGCTCCAATATTGATCTGTTCGGGGAATTCCAGCCACAATTTCAGATTCTATTCCACAGTGATTCTTTCCACGGAGAATTTTAAAGAAGCCATTATCACCCCAGTCTGTGTTACAGGAGTTAGCAGCCAGCCAGTAAGGGGTACCATCCTCCACACCCCAGCCTAGGACACGAATGGCATGGCCTCCAAGCATTTCTCCAGGAATGTGCTGGTAAACTCCAGACTTGTACTGGAGGAAGTCAGTGTACATGAGAAAAGCTCCTTCCACAGGGCCATTCTTGTAGATCTCAACCATGATCTCCTCCTCACTTGAAGGTACACTGTAAGAGGCTGATCCATAGTGTTTGTCATCTTTGTAGTCAAGAGAATAGCCTGCTTCACACTTCTTTCTGCATTTGGGGGTGTTCCCTGTCTCTCCAGTACAGGCAGGGTGAGAACCATTCACATGGTGCTCACATGGAGGGATGGAGTAGGGTCAGCAGCCTATATGGGAATCATAGAGGCCACCAGATACAAGGCCTTTCTTGGTCCAATACCTCCAAGCTCCAGAAGGAAAGCCACCATTACAGCCTTCCCCACACTCAAATCCACAGCAGCTAAGCAGGTCCTCAGCAGAGACTTCTACATTGGCATTTCCACCAGTGTGTACACAGATCCTATCAGAAATGGCTTCCACAGCTCCAAATGCCCAGCAAGAACCGCAGGAACCCTGGTCTCTAATTTCCCTGATGGTTGGGCAGTTTGGCCACTGTTCCTGAGCATCAAAGTTTTCTGGTAGCTTCATGCCATCAGCCAAAAACATTCTCTGAGGTAGTAGCTTGGCTCCACCCATGAAGGTACCACAGAGTTTCTTTACGTAGCTCATGTTCGCATTACAGAAGTTGTGCCCAGCCTGCCACGTAGTATTGAGCTTGTTGACGTAGTTTACCATTTCATCTGAAAGAGGAGGAAAGGACAATCTGCTCCAAGCACTGGTCAGTACGACCAGGCTGCACAGAGTGGCCAAGAACTGCCACATTTTGGGAACTGAATTCCTGATTTACTGTCCCTCCTGTGCGGAACAGGATTGCCCAGTAACCAGCAGCAAGCACCACAACAGCTCCCTCCCATAGGGATCTTTATGTATAGTTTAGTGGCCCTGTTTCTATTTGAGTTTGACATCTTTGCTGTAGAGCAGGATAATATTGTGGGAAGAGCCCTGGAGTTGGGATCATAACACTTCGGCTTAAATCCTTATTCTGCTACTAGTTGGCTGCATAGCTATTGACAAGCCTAATTATCTTCTTTGAGATTCAATTTCCCCACAGGTAAAATGAAGATAATAATTACACTATCCACATCATAGGATGATTTTGAAGAAAATACTTTGTAGGTCTTAAATTGCTGTAGAAACTTTAGCTTTATGATAGTAAGTTTGACTATAAACATCTCTGTGCTTCTGACCATATTCTTTCTGATATCAGATGAAAGCAGGTTTTGACTATGCTGCATCATTTAAAAAACATTTAGCACTCTTGCTTCATACATATGTTATAGAATATGAATGTTGGCAAGGGAAGCCAGGTTAATGAGTAAATCAATTTCTTTGTCTAACTGAGATCATAAATTTGCTCATATGAGTCTACCTGTTTAAGAGTTGGTTCTTCAATTCTTTGGACCAGCTGAGAAGGAAAGGTAGCAAATTTAACACAAAGGAGGAGGAAGTGCTGGAGTTGAGTTCTTGTCTAGGGAAAACCCTGCTCAAATGTGTCTTGCCCTGATTGGGTCAGAATTTTGATGAGCTTGAGGAACTCTCATTATGAGAGTCAGAATGTTACAGTGGAGAGTATATTGGGCTTAGAGTCAGAAGACCAGGATTTGAGTTCAGGCTTTGCCATTTATTGGTGTGTGACTCCCTTCTCTTAGCTTCAGTCTCCTTTTTAGTAAAATGGGGCTAATATGTTACCTGAATCACAGTCCATCTTACCAAGGGGTTTTGATTCAGCCTTCACAACATCTCTCATACCTCTCCCCTTATCTCTATTCTTATCCCTTCTTATCTAGCCTATTATAATAACTCCTGATGAGTCTTCCTGCTTCTAACATCTTTTTTCTCCAACCCATCATCCACAAAGTTGCCAAAATAATTTTTCTAAGGCACAAGTCTGACTATTGCACTCTTTTGCTCCAGAAGCGTTAGAGACTCCATTGCCTCTAAGATAAAGTATAAATTCCTAAGCCTGGATGTATAACATTTTGCAAACCTCAAATGCTTTTTATGTCAATTATTATTATTATTATTATCATCATCATCATCATCATCTGGATCTTTCTCTTTACAAAGACTTGTTAGTCAAATAACATTTATGCGAAGTAAGGGACAAAGGATCTTATAATATACTTGAGTAGGGGAGGGAGGGTTGGAACAAATCCTATGTATTTGAGATCTCTGATGAGTCTAACTCTCTACCCATAGTAGGCAATCCTTTCCACATTATCTCTGATGGGTTGTTATTTTTCCATGCAGTGTAGCCCACTTTTAGTGAGTTCTGTTTGTTAGAAAGTTCTTCCTTTTACTTTGCTATTTGAATGGATATGAATGAGATATAGATCCTTTTCTACTGGTAGACTGAAAACCACCCATGCCTTCTGACCTCATGTGTCTTGTTTTTTCTTGTGAATCCTGTAAAAGTTTTTTTTTAAATTTTCCTGTAAATCCTGATCTACCTAAGCCAATGTAGTTTTTCTAATCGTTATTTTGATAATCAATTAATCAGAAAGCATTTATTCAGCATAGGAACTATGCCAGGAATTGTGATAGAATCTGGAGTTACCAAGACAAAAGCTGAAACAACCCTTGCCTTCAAGGAGCTTATAGGCAACATGTACATATATGAGTATATATGGAATCCATACAAAATAAATATAAGGTAGCTAAATACAAGTTAGTTAAGGAAGGAAAATAAGGAACGGAAGGAAGAAAAGCAAGTGAGGAGCCAGAAGAGGTTTCATATAGCTTATCTTAAAGAAAATGAGGGATTTTTTGAGGCAGACAGAAGGACGGAGTGCATTTTAGGCATGGAGGATGGCCACTGCAAAGGCACTGAAATGGGAGTCAGTAAGGCAATCAACAAGCATTGTTAAGTGTTTACTATGTACCAGGCATTGTATTTAGTTTTGGGGATACAAAGAAAAGCAAAAAGCCATGTCTCTGTCCTCAAGGAGCTCATATCCTGATGGGGAGCTAACAAAATAACATATAAAGAATGATGTACACACAAAAGATGTATGTTTGTGCATCTGTATATACACATATACATGCACACACATATACATACACATATACATGCATATGCACACAAATATATATGTGTATATGTTTGTCTTATATGTAACATAGTTCTTTACATGTTATATTGTTATCTCCCCATTAGGACATAAACTCTTTGAGGACAAAGACACTGGTTTTTGTCTTTCTTTGTATCCTCAACACTTAATACAGTGCCTGGTACTTAGCGAACAGGTAAACACCTAATAAATGCTTGTTTTATATATATATATAATATACACACAAACACACACACTAGATGGAAGGTAATCTTACAGGGGAAGGCACTAGCGCAAGGGGGGGGCAGAAAAGGCCTCCTGCAGAAGGTGGGATTTAAGTTTATTTATTTATTTTAGAACATTTCCATGTACATAGCACAACACAGAGAGAGAATTCGATATAAAACCATCAATTTCCATTTCAGACTGTTTACTTTTATTTTTTTTGGAAAAACTATGTAATAAATACTACACATTGTTTTCAGAGCTACCCTGCTTTTCTGTGCTTCCTTCTAAGTTTTCTTTTGTTCTCTGCTGTGCACTTTTTATTATTTTTTTTCTTCCTCCCTCCTCACCCTGCCCTAGAGAAGGCTATGATTAAACACAAATATATGTATATGTATATATACACATGTATACACAGAAACACATACTATGTACATACATATGTGTGTATATATACACACAGCACACCATACAAACTGCTCATTATCAGTTCTTTGTCTGGAGGTGGATAGCATCTTCCTTCATATGTCCTTTGTAGTTGGTTTGACTATGATACTCAAGATGAATTAGTCATTCAAAGTTGTTCTTAGGACAATATTTCTGTTACTATGTACAACATTCTCTTGGTACTGCTCATTTTACTTTTCGTTATTTCATTCAAATCTTGTCATGTTTTTCTAAAATCCCCAACTGAAGGACGTCTATCATTTTAGTCAGACTGATAGATGTAGGAGATGATCAAAGGTGTAAGATCTCAAAGTTGTTTTAATTTGCATTTCTCTAACAAGTAATGATTTAGAGCATTTTTCCATATGACTATATATGCTTTTGATTTCTTCACTGAAAAATTGTCTGTTCATATCCTTTGACCATTTATCAGTTGGGTTAATGACTTGTATTCTTATAAATTTGATGAAATTCTTTATATTTTTGTGAAATGAGACCTTTATCCGATAGATTTTCCCCAATTTTCTGTTTTCCTTCTAATCTTGGTTACATTGATTTTATTTGTACAACCACTTTTTAACTTGATGTATTTGAAATTAACTATTTTATACCTTACAATGTTCTCTATCTCTTGTTTATTCATAAATTGTTCTCCTTTCCATAAGTCTGGTAGGTAATATGTAAAATGTTCTTCTAATTTTCTTGTGATATCTCCCTTTATATCTAGGTCATGTATCCATTTTTATCTTCTTGTGGTAAATGGTTTAAGATATTGGTCTATACCCAATTTCTGCCAGACTGCTTTCCAGCTTTCCCAACAATTTTTAACAAATAATGAATTCTTATCCCCCCAAATTAAATCTTTACATTTATCAAATACAAGGTTACTATAATCATTTACTATTGTACGTTGTATATCTACTCTGTTCTGCTGATCTACCTTTCTATTTCTTAGCCGATACCAGGTAGTTTTGATAATTATTTGATAATCATTGCCTTATAATATAGTTTAAAGTCTGGTGCTGCTAAACCTCCTCATTTTCATCTTTTTTCATTAGTTTCTTTGAAATACTTGACCTTTTGTTCTTCCAAATGAATTTTTTTCTAACTCAGTAAAATAATTTTTTTGGTAATTTATTTGGGATGGCATTAAAAAAATAGGTTAGATGAAATTGCCATTTTCATTATATTGGCTTTGCCTACCCATGAATAATTAATATTTCTCCAATTATTTAAATCTGAATTTATTTGTATAAAGAATATTTTACAATTATGTTCCTGTAGTTTCTGGATGTATTTTGGCAGGTATACTCCCAGGTACTTTATACTGTCTACAGTTATTTTAAATAAGACATCTCTTACTGTCTCTTCTTGCAGTGTTTTGTTGGTGATATATAAAAATGCTTATTATTTATGTAGGTTTATTTCATATCCCACTATTTTCCTAAAATTATTAATTGTTTTAACTAACTTTTTAGTTGAATCTTTAGGAAATTCCAAATATATCATCATGTCATCTGCAAAAAGAGATAGTTTATTACCTTATTTCCTATTCTGATTAGTTCAATTTCTTTTCTTCTCTTATTACTATTGCTAGCATTTCTAAAACAATATTGAATAATCTTGGTGACACATAATTTCCCTTTTTATCTCTTTTAATTAAATATATTTTAACTTTAACTTTGTTTGAGATCATGATTGCTACCTGTATTTTGTTGTTGTTGTTGTTGTTTTTTACACTGGCTGAAGCATAATAAATGCTACTCCAGCTCTTTACTTTAAATTTGTGTGTATCAATCATTTCTAATTATATTTCTTGTAAGATACATATTGTTGGATTTTGATATTTAATCCATTCTGCTTTTCATTTCCATTTTATGGGTGAGTTCATCCCATTCACATTTAAAGTTATAATTACTAGTTGCCTGTTTCCTCAACCATATTTTTCCTCACTATTAATCCTTCTCACCCTACTTATCTTATCTCTTCTCACACATCTAATTTGCTTCTAACCACTTCCTTCCCTTCTATTCCTTAATCAACCCACCTGTCTAAGCGTTGCTCTCTTATCCTCTTTCCCCACCCTCCAAAAAT